GCCCGCATCCGCCTGCCCGCATCCGCCTCCCTTCATGAGTCCCGCTCATCTTCCCTCAGCCACTACCCCCTCTACCATATTCCTTTCACCCCTGCCTTCATACACCCCTCTCCCTCCACTATAACTCCCTCCCCTCGTGGCTATATTCACACACTGTCGTCCTATTCTTCCTAAACTCTGCACGCCCCTCCACTCCCATCTAGCTCGTCTATATCTCTGACATGTACCAACCGATTTGGGTCCGGTATGTGGCCGCATATTTAATCGCATTTCATCACTCATTCTATTCACAGTCTCGCCCTACCTATATCGGTTCTTGCATTCCGCTCTTGGACTACGTCGCATACCGTGTACGTCATTATCATCACCGTCGTCGTCGTCGTCGTCTGACCTTAACTACTTATCTACAGCCGGTCGTGTGGTGCCTGGCTTGAAGAATGATAGTGAGTGTGCTGCTGCTCAGTTTTCTTCACCTGCTGATTCTTTCCTAGGCATGGACTTGTATGCGTAAGTCGGAGAGAAGGGTGACGCTGGCTGGGAAAGGTATGCGAACTCAGCTGCTCGCGCATCGCATCTTGATTGCAATTTTTTTTGCCGCCGAGCCGGCTTACCATGACAATACACGTCGTTTACGTTCTGGTTCCCCATGATATCTTCGTGTTTAGTTATACGGGCTGCATGTATGCCTGTAAATAATGTACGAACAATGCATTATGATTATCTCAGAATTATCGAGCGGACTGAATTTTGTCTGTACGAAAGGGAGCTCTGGGGAATCTCTAGCGAGCACCCTACCTGCAAGCCAGCACTCGCTAGCACAGCTTAGCAGCGCCTGCTAGTTCATTCTCATAATGATGCAGCGGCCGCGCGCTAGTGAGCAGGTCGCTCGCTGACGAGAGCTAGCGGCCGCTCGCCTGCGCTAACGTTCCTGCTGTGTGGGAACAACTTTTCGTGATGTCATTGCACTGAGAGGCTCATCGAAGTGTCTTTCGTGGAGAATGGGTATTACCCGCAAACCTGTACTTAACAACCTTTGAAGCTCGCGTACAAGCTCACCAGTCCACATGTGCCGCCTCGATTGATCCATCTACTTTTCTCTCGTATTCTCGAGAGCTCTTCCTCAACTCCAACCCATCATGTCCTGATAGGCTACCGCAATACAGCCGTATATTATCATCCGCAGTTGTGTCCTCGAGGATAACTATAAGCTTCAAGAAATACCTTCAAGTATGGTCAGCTCTGGTCCTGATACTGCGCACTTTTTGCCCAATACTTGTAGCAGTATGATAAAGGTCGCTATTGCGAACGCCTCAAGAGCAGAAGATATAGCCTCGTCGAGACGGCTCGCAGTGCGCTATGCGAGGTTTCGTAAGTCGCATTACATCCCCCTGTAATCCTGTGGTCGGCTCTAGCACCGTCACTATGTGAGTGCACACAGGCGCTATGCGGCAAGCAAGCAACACGAAGACGCCGGTGCGCTGGACGGCGATGCGATTGTTGGACTGAGCGTGCACGGTTCTCAAGATGGTCATGAAGATGAAGAAAGCACGCGATCATTCTCAGTGCCGTAGTTCAGAGAGGACCAAGAAGGCTTGCTAACCCTGGTTCTGCTGCTAATCGCAGATAGCAGCTCTGGATTAGCAAGCAAGTATATCTTGCAATTAACTCACTTGCAGCTGAGCCAGGCGGCAAACCGAGTGGTCTTCAACCTTGCGGCAGTTAAGATTCTGAGCATCCAGGGTTGAAGATGTTCGGTACGAGCTTATACAAGAACACTCATTACCGCTGCTTGACGACGAAAAGCTAGACAACTTGCTGGCCCGACTTCCGATAAGCCTGGCAACATAACCCGTTCAATCATTTCGCCACAGGTCCGAGCCGATTGTCTCTCCGAGACCTGAGCAAAGAGCGCGAGAAGACTGCAGACAGACAATTGTGCCTCTACCATGTACGACAGAGCAGTTACTTATCCTCTATTGGGTGGAAAGAGAGACCACCGAAAATGGTGGACGTAGGAGGATAACTTGCGCGATCCGGATATGAGGCTGGCGGCTCTGCTCGTTCATGCGTAGGCATCTCCTTTCCAGGGAGAGAAAGCTCCTTACTTGTAGTATCAGAAAGCAGAAATCCGTGAGGATGCATAGACCGGCAGAGGGCCTGTGTTGCTTCAACGCAGGCCACGACTATTTGCCAGCATCCAGAGGTATGACGGAATCACGAGGGAAGCTCAGAGGACTAGAAGCAAGGATGGCGACGAGAGGAGTTCCGACGACGAGCGAAAAGCACCGTAGGCTATCTTGAGCCGCCGGTGCAGGCGGGATGCACGGCCATCCGGACGACAGTGTACTGATGCGTACTTGTACCCCGGTCATTCGCCTAATCCGGGATACTAGGCAGCGTCGTCTGCTTTTCACGGCAACAGCAAAACAGTCTTCCACGAGAGACGGTCACTCTCAAAGGTATACAAGAACGACAAGGTCGTGTGCATAATGACTGGAATGGAGGTGGTGGTATATTGGATGGAACCGCGAGCCGCGAGCAGGACCACGTCGCGATCAGGAAGCCGCAAGCGTGGCGCCGACGCGCGCGAGTGGTCCGTGTGGCGGACGCGTTTCGAGCTTGGTTGCCACTACCACCACTCTCGCGCCCAACGAGCTCACCTCCTACCTCTCGATATTATATCCTCGCTGCGCGATACAATATGGTATGCAACATCGCAAAACCCCGTTTCTGTGTCCTCACTGCAAGCACAGTCGGCGCTGTTCAACTTCCAATCGTTGCTCCTTGTCATCCTGCTCATGATCTGCACCTGTACATATGTACGAGCTGTCGCACCAACACTCATAGACAGAAATAAGGAGGGGTGCGTGACTGCCCCAAATGCGATCATCCGAAGTTCTAACCTGCTTTGGCAGATTTCTTGGTTTATTCTTTATGTCGGCACGTATCGGTACGCCTGTCTCGTATACTCGGCGCGCACACGCTGACGGGAAGTTACAGGGGAACGGCTATCACCATATGTTGCGTTAGCGTGTATTATAATGGCCGTACGAATCATCATACAATGAGGATGCAGAAGTGCGTTCCTCCCGACCACGGGCGCGCCATCGTCCCTCGCGTTGCGGTCGCTGTCAGCAATCCCCTCTTCGGCTATAGCGTGTGTGCACCATGTTCGTGCACTCTAGATCGGGCTTCCCCACGTGTAATTCTACCGTCAACCGGACATCATCACTCCAGCTAATGGATGCAAGTCCACGGGTACCGGATTCAGAGATCCCTTTATTCTCTCGCTCCCAACATCGACCCAACAACGCTCAAATGCTACGATACGCTACCCCAAGCTTCAATCGTACAGATGCAGTCGACACTTATGTAATGTCTTTGAGCCGCCTGCATTGTGATTTATGTCCTCCCTTATTCCAGTCGCTGTTTTTGACATGATCAAGGATCCATCAGGTGTGGGAAGATAGAGGGTACTGACCTTCTTTGACATTCTCGACTGCAATAATGGCTGTCCCCACAACCGCTGCACTTCTTGAGAACCACGGAGGCGTCGGGCGCGGATCTGTGGTGCTCGCACGCATACCAAGAGCAGCGGTGCGCGGCCTCCCGCCGGAAGCGTTTGCGTTCCTCCTCTTCACCCAGACCCAAGCCCTTCCCAAGGTTTTCCCATTGTCGGAGGACACCGCTAAGCATATGTCTCTGCGGCGAATTTGATAAACGGTATTGGACCGTTTGCAGCGCCTGCATGCTCGGCCACCATTCGGCCATGGCTCCGTCCTTCATGGATTTCAGAAAGGGTTTCGACCCTCGGCCCTTGTGGCGTTTCAGTGCTTCGATGAGACGATTGATGTCGAGCAAGCGTTGCTCGACCGGGTTCTCGAATCGCGTGCCGGGTACTGTAGAGGACATACTTGAGTGACATGTAGGTGACAGGACATCTCGGCTTACTATTTGCCTTCAGGGGTCCCAGTTTCACACCCTCTTGGCTCAACAAGTCAACCGCCCTAGCAACCTCGCTGATCACATATTCTCCTCGTAGATATACATCCAGACTGGATCTTGACCGTTCTGTACTGTCAATGAGCGCCTGCAGAAGGGATCTATAGTGACGGGTGAATTCGATGTCCCAAGATATTGTGCAATCAAGACCAACCCAGTCAATAAGCCACAATCTGCCCAGACCATGGTCTTGACTGTCTGCGCATCCAGATTACTGCGAAGTACCCGAGATACCGCATGAACCATAGTCTGATGAATTTCATGTGCCAGCAGTGCCCCATGGAGTAAGGGACAGGTGGCGAGACTTCTATACGTCTGTAGAGCAAGGAAGGCGCGCTCAAAGTTCGTTCCGCAGTCATCGGGCAACGACTGCAGCTTTTCAGCGAAGCGTCCGAAGAAGACATCGGCGAAAGACGCAGTTATATTGTCCATCAAGACGGAGCGCACGAGCGCATCCCTGGCGGAATCATCACGTACCGCCTCTGGGAGGCATGTTAGAGCCTCTCTCCAGGCATGATCTTGTATCTCGTAAGGTATTTCGGGTGTTGCCAAGGACAGGGGATAATATAATGCAACGTGCGGGACGTAGGAGCTCAGGGGAGCGCTGCGACTTCCAGCTCTACAGGGTATGTTGAAGGAGGTTTCCATAATGGATCGATGATCTTGGGACATACCTAGCTCCATGAAAGTGATTGTAGACACACAACAGTTGAAGAATCGGCTCCCCAGCGAGATGCGCAGGCCCTTCTGAAGGTGAGAGTACTATTTGGTGTTCCTCTTGAGTAGCATATACGAGTTGCTGCCGACGGTTCCAGATGCTCTCCCATAAAGCCGGTGCTCGACGAAGTAGAGGTGCTACAAAGGGATGCAAGCGCGAGTGCTGCGCGCCCGCGATACCAAGGTCGCCAACGAGTCGTATCAAGCCTCCTATAACGCTATCAACGAAGGACTAGGGGAGAATGATGAGCTATCCCGGGCCATCAGGGAAAGACGCGTATCAGAGAGCGCACCAGAGGTTGGCGAAAGAAATCATCATCCATCACGATGTCCTGGTACAAGTCATGTATGCGCGTATCGAAGAGCAGACGCTCCAACTCGGGATCTTTGCATATTAGCGCGGCATGGAAGAGTGAGCAGTTAAGGTGATCAGCACTGCGTAGGAGGAGTTCGTTCTTCTCAACGTCTCCCCCACTTGCACGATACAGGCGAGAGAAGTCCTCGACGGCGGCCACGATGAATTGGCGGCGCGCCTGAGTGCCGACTGGGGGAAATTGGCGGCTTTCCTCCTTGCTCGTCAATAAGGGCATGTTTGCACCCTTCCGCACGGGCTGCGTAGTATCTGACATGGGACCCTGGGATTTGATCAAGTGGGGTTGTGCTCTAGTCGTGAGGTAAGGTGCAGACGGGTTTTGTGTGCTGTGTATTGGATGGCGAGGGCAAGCAGTTGGGGTGCTGTATACTCAATACGCCCAGGGACCGCGTGAGAGGCGCTTCCAGATCCTACATCACGAGCACACAGAAGAATCGGTAGAGTTTGCGCCGGATGATGAGATTGAGCGCCTCTTACGGAATGTCGTCCCGGCGCAACAAAGCGCACATCTGGCTTTCCCGCAACTGACAAGCGATGCATGAGGAATAAACAGGATGGCTTATGAAGCTGATGTGTAAGGATAGACTGAATGAGTGGTGTGGTGTCCAGTATGCTCATACAAGCCGTTTATCTGGTACTTCAATTTTCGTTTCTACCCGCGGAGCATGCTCGTACTTGTCAAAGCCTTGGCTTTTGAGAACGACTTCCTCATCCGCATCCGGAACAAGATCTCCTCGTTCTGTGCGCCTTGCCCTACAAAAGGTATGAGTGGGTGTAGCTACGCGTGATTACTTATGAACGTACTTGAAGAAGGTGTATGACAAGACGACATCATCAAGATCGCGACATTGAGGGTCGTCTAATACGTCTTTGTCGATGAAGAACAAAAGCGGCATGTCAACCTCTTCGCCGGCCAACAGCTTCTGTTCTTCAAAGCAGAAGCATTCGACCTTGCTAAAGTAAGGAGCGATCTATCGGCGATGATTAACATAGCACAAGAGGCTTGAATGACACGGACGTACCCGATCAGGCGTAACATTGTAGGTGGCAATTCCAACGATGTCCTTGTCGCTCTCGTTGCGAGCGCGATAGAATGCTAGAGACGTCTCGCCAGGTAACACAGTCACGAACTTTTGTTGTGGCGTGAACTTCCATGGAAGCTGCTCTGATCGGTCCGCATTGAAGTGAACCTGTGATAGAGTAAGGTACTGGTCTGAAAGAACGTGAAGCAGTCATACCTTGATACGGTGGGCATTCTCGACTGGGACCAGCCTGGAGGGCTCATATCGCCCGTTCCCAGTGACTGGTGTACCCGCGAAGCCAGTCGCAGAGCAGAACATGCGATACAACGGAACGGCGGCATACGAGAGTCCAACAAATGCGACTGCCTGCAGACAGAAGTTGCGTTGAGGACATATGAATATGACAGAATGAGGTCACATACCACAGCAGTAGTGTACATGAGCAAGCTCCGGTTACGCTGCCGATAAACTTCGCAGGCATCCACGAGTGTCGGCCGTGTTCTGGGTCGCCTGGGAGCACTCTCCTCGAAGCATCTCCTCGTCTCGGAGAACCATCTCTGGCCACTTCTTGACCATGAAGGCGAGAATGGTGGTAGAGCACTGCGCGGAGTACTCCTCAAGCCAGAGCACCGCAAAGGAGAGACTTGAGCACGTCCGAGATTTGAGCGAGCGGCTGCACGAAGCTGCAAGGTTTCTGAACGCGTTCCTGTAACATGACAGGTAATGAGCTTACGCAGGCTGCCGTTGAGAGAGAGGACATGGCCGTTCGGGGAAAGAAGGTGCGCGCGGCGCGCGGGACGCGGTGCCGAGACGCGCTGGCGTGATCGCGAAACAGTCATTTGATGAACGCGTCGAGACGCGCCGGGACGCGACTTGTCTCTCGACCGCCACCAGCCTACGCGAGGCACCCATGAGCCCCTGCCTATTTCAACCATAATATACGCTAGTTCTAGTTTGCGGACATGGGTGTTAAGTCCCTCTGGGAACTCCTGGAGCCCGTCGGCCGCCCCACACCTCTAGAGACGCTTGAATCCAAACGTCTTGCAATTGACTCGTCCATCTGGCTTTATCAGTTTCAAGCGACGATGCGTGATCGCTCCTCCGGACGCGTCCTCGTAAACGCGCATGTTCTTGGTTTCCTGCGCCGCATCAGCAAGCTGCTATTTTTCGGCATCAAACCTGTGTTTGTCTTCGACGGTGGTGCACCCGAGCTCAAGCGGAAGACAATTGGGAATCGCAAGCACAAGAAAGAAGGTGCACGTCTCAGTGCTAAGGAGGTGGCGGAGCGACTGCTTGCCGCGCAACTGCGAAAGGAAGCTGTGGAAGCCGCGGCGGGCGGCAAGGGCAAGGGCGCCGAGAGGCCGGCGCGAGTGGACGATGATACAGTCTATCTCGAGGACCTGACCGGTCCGTCAGCGGGTCTTCCTCTCCCGCCAGCCACTCCATCAAGGTCCCCTTCCAAGCCCACGGAGCAGCCGAAGAGCAATGACAAGAAGGCTCAGTGGCGTGATCACGACCTCTATCGTTTACCAGAAGTTGACCTCGCCGCGTGGATCTCAGCTCGCACATCAACCGCCGTACCCGACCCTCGGTTGGCAACAGAGGATGAACTTCGTGACTTCATGGAAGCCTTAGACCCCGATAGTCTCGACGTCTCGTCACCGGCTTTCCGTGAACTACCTACCGAGGTCCAATACGAGATCATAGGCGACTTGCGCCTGAAGTCGCGCCAGACCAGCCATAAGCGTCTGCAGGGCATGCTGAAAGCTTCTCGTACCCCACTCGATTTCAGCAAAGAGCAAATTCGCGGCCTGAAGCAGCGCAACGAGCTGACACAACAGCTGCTCGTAACGACGGATACAATAGGGCAAGCGCACGTCCACATTCCCGTGCGAATTGCGAGCGAGCGTAATCGGGAGTACGTTCTTGTTCGCAGTGAAGGAGCCGAGGGTGGCTGGGTGCTGGGGGTCCGCGACGGTCCTGGTTATGCGGCGGATAAGCCGATCGTGATCGACGATGCAGACGTGAAACCCCATGCGAGAGATGGGGCAGTCGATAGAGAAGAGGTTGCGATGTACGGACATCCACCCTACTACATACATCAGGTGCTAATTCGTATAGACCAGGTGCGGGCGCTGCGATGGACCCAGATTTGCGCTCGTTTCAGCAGAGTATGGCTCTCGCGGGCATAGGCAAACGACAACAGAACCCGTCCTACTCAAAGGTCGCCACGGCACCTGTACCTCGACGCTCAACATCTTCTGTACCGCCATCGAAGAAGCCCACGGCTCAGTCTGCCTCAGCGTCGTCCTCAAAGCAGAAGATACCCTTGTTCGAGTTATCTGACTCCGAACAGGAGGATGACGACGCGCTGCCTACACCGTTGTCGCATCCTCATGACCTTGGAGAGGACGAGGACGAGGATCCCGAGCTAGCGACGGCGTTGCAAATGTCTCTGGACGACGCTGTTACTACACGGAGGTCGAATCTACGAGCCCAACTGGAAGGCAACAGCGTGATAGAACATGACGAGGAAGACGATGACGATGATGACATGGAGGAGGTATTTGTACCTAATCGTCTGGCGACAGCGCTGGCGATAGCAAATGCTGGCCCCTTCCAATCACCTCTCAAACGACCTTCAGCATCGCCAGTCAAACGGCCGTCGGGCGCTCCGCTAAAAACACCATCGAGTTCAAGGACCGTGAGCGGGACGAGAAGAGTCTCCGGTGAAGGCACGATGCGTACGCCACCCAGTGCGATTCCTGACACCCCTTCCAGAAAGAAATCGGCTTCATTCCCGTTTCCGCCTCCACCATCTACACCAAGCTCTTCAACTCTCCCGCCCTTTCTTAAGACCGCGGATTCGCTACCCACAGGCCGTACGCAACCTCCTTCAAGTTCAGCAATCGCGGAAGAGGACCACGGTCTCGGCGCGTCAACGCTGTTCGCCGGCAGACTCAGTACAGCGTTCTCATCTTCGGCACCTGCGCCTCTTCCCTCCATTCCCAGTACATCGGCCCCGCCCTCCGTCAAAACCGACGACGAAGACGAAGATATGGACATGGAAGAGGTCGTCGTTCCCGTGACAAACAAAGATGCACCCGGACAACCGCTTCCCGTACCGGATGAGGGATCGGATAATGATCTGTACGCCGACGCCGTGCCGCCTTCCATTGCAGCACCAGGCGCTTCTGTAGAAGAGGCCTACACCTCCACTTTGGCTGAGCATATTCGCAGCGCGTCGAACATGGCTGCTTCTGAGGCTTTGGTGTCACTTGATCAGGACGAAGTGGAGGAGGACATGGAAGAAGTCCCTGTCCCCGCCTCTACACCTACACGGGTTTCTTCTCCCAGACGTGCCTACGAACAAGAGAACGCCGAAGCCGGCCCTTCACGTCGTTCACCCTCACCCGCCCGTGCGCCTTCTCCGACGCTGTCTGAAGACTCAGACGTCATACCTGGCTGGTCGCGGTCGCCTTCCCCATCCGCGCGCGAAGCCGGCAAACCAGCCAAAGAGGATCACTTCGATGCAGCTGCGGAGATGGACCCACGCGCAGAGGAGGGCGGCTTTGCTGACTTTCTCGCCACTATTAAAGGACGCGATTTGGCCACTGTCCGCGCAGAAATCGACGAGGAGATCAAGGAGCTGCGTGGACAGCGTAAGAATGCTCTGCGAGATTCAGAAGACGTCGGCGGTCAGAACATGGTGGCTCAGATCATGGTCATGCTCAGACTCTTCGGTATACCCTATATCACGGCACCAATGGAGGCCGAGGCTCAGTGCGCCGAGCTCGCACGTCTGGGGTTGGTGGACGGGATCATCACGGATGATAGCGATGTGTTCTTGTTTGGCGCGAACAGGGTGTACAAGAATATGTTCAATCAGAGCAAGACCGTTCGCGTCTTTCTCCAGAGTGATCTGGAGCGTGAGCTGGCACTCGACCGTGATGCGCTCATCCGCCTCGCATACCTACTGGGCAGCGACTACACCGAGGGCTTACAAGGTGTAGGACCCGTTGTGGCTATGGAACTGCTGAGAGAGTTCCCGGGGTCGGATGGGTTGTGGCGCTTCAGGGAGTGGTGGTCGCGTGTTCAGAGTGGTAAGGATACCGAGGAAGAAAGTGGCACACCGTTTAGGCGACGCTTTGTACGTCGTATTGCTCTTTTCCACCGGTAAAATGATATTGACAATATATGTTCTATAGAAGAAACGCTTCAAGAAGCTATACCTCTCACCGGATTGGCCCCCGACTAATGTCCGTGATGCGTACTTGCACCCGAATGTCGACGACTCCGAAGAACCATTCAAATGGGGTGTGCCCGATCTCGCCGGCCTCCGTACTCTTCTCTCGTCTGAGCTCGGATGGTCCGAGTCCAAGATCGACGACTTGCTCCTACCTATCATCCAGAAGATGAGCCGACGCGAAGCGGAGACTAAGGCCAATCGTCAGGGTAACCTGGGCGATTGGATGGATGTGCAGGGTGAGGGTGCTACGACGCGCAGGGCAGAGAAGTACAAGAGCAAGCGTTTGATGGACGTCGTGAATGCTTGGCGCAAGGACCGTCGTGGCAAGAGTGTGACTCCGCTTGGAGGAGAGGAGGAGGAGGAGCTTGCGCCCAAGAAGTCTAAGGCCAAGAAGAAGACCGCCGCATCCTCTTCCCAAGATTCCACTGTGGAAGGGCGCGGGAATGGACGTGGTGGTCGAGGTCGAGGGCGCGGTCGTGGCCGGGGACGAGGTCAAAGGGCAGGCGCTAGGGGTGGCAAGCGCAAGCGTGCAGATGTTAGCGAGGAGAGTGCGAGTGGTAGCGAGTTCGAGCCAGATGCAGAACCTGTGGAGGCACCTCAGCGCCCGAGGCCGAAGCCCAGAGCCGTCAGGCGGAAGGTCGCACAATCAGTGGAGGACGAGGCACCTGGAGACGGCGCCACCAGTAACGCTGGCGAGGCAGAAGCGGCGGGCTAATATACGTATAATATATTCCATACTTAATCGGTACTCTTCGACAGACTGGTTTTCGCATCAGATATATCATTTGAATTGTGAACATATGATGAACTCGAAAGTCATACAGTGTAACGATGTACGCTCTGTTGTCACTGCGCTGAGCAGTGAGCATGTGTCAGGTTAGGGTTAGTGTCACAGGAGATGACGCGGCTGTAATAACCTCGCGACAACGCGACACCGCTTGGACATGAACGACGACGACCTCCTCCCCCCTCCCCCCTCCATCAATGGCTCTTACAGCAGTGCAATGAGCTAAGGCGAGCCTGGCAGAAGTGTGCTTTGTATCTGGATATATGTATACCTAATTGCCTCAATGCCCGAACCTTGCCCGAACCGGAGTCGCTGTGCTATTCTTAACGCCTTGCATCTCCGGGCCAGCAGTGCTCGCGCGGGTTTTTTCCCGCTTCTTCATGTTCGTCTGGACAAGGTAGCGTTCTTATTTGTTTGATCCGTCGGTTCTGCACGAGGACTTTGATTTGCTGCGTCATATCCAAGAGTCATGCTCCCGCTATTTGCAGAGACCTAGCGGTAAAGACTACCGGAGTACAGACGCGAGCTACCGAATGTGTACGAAGTGCTCTATGAGAGACATGCTGAGCGCGTCATTACCGGTTTGTAGTCATTATGCATATGCCGACGCGGCGTCAATACCGGTGAATGCGTCGCACAGTATAGGACTCAAGCCGCGCTACCTCGCTACAGCACTCGACGTCGGCGGCACGACATAAAGGCACTGTTCAGGAGGACTAGAATCTTATCCACAAGGCATATAACTTCTCTCAACACTGACAAGTAACTGCAATACTCAACGATGGAGATCCCCGAAGTCAAGGTCTTCAACTTCGTGCACGAGTACGTGGGTCATGTTCCACTCCATGTTCGACAGACACTGACATCTGGTGCTGCAACTCAGAGTATACCCTTTGATCGACGCCAAGCCGCACTTTACATCGAAGACCTACAAGGACAAGGTTGTCATCATCACCGGTGGCTCCGAGGGCATCGGCGCCACCGCTGCTCTCTTCTATGCGAAGGCCGGTGCGAAGCTCGTTCTTGTTGCGCGAAACATCAAAGAGCTAGAGGAGCGCAAAACGGCCATTGAGAAGCACGTCTCCGGGTCCGAAATTCTCGTGGTGGCTGGCGACATCTCTGACGTAGAGGTCGGCAAGCTCGCTGTACAGGCTGCCGTGCAAAAGTGGAACAGGGTCGACATCGTGGTGGCCAACTCTGGTACCGAACAAGGTGGCGCAGCGAGTACGTCGAGTGATACAATAGCCGACACGCAAGTTGTAATGATCGGCGCTATCCAGAGTTCCATCAGAAGGACCCTCTAGGATGGTGGCATACGCAGGAGGTGAACGTGAGAGGCACGCTCAACATCGTGCAGTACGTCTCGGCTCGTTACATGCCACGCGATTATGCTCGTTGAGGAGACTCGTACTAGCGCGGCAATCCCCGAGCTTCTCGAGACCAACGGACAAGTGATTGCAGTCTCTTCCGCGCTGGCACATGCACGCGTGCCAATCCTGGCAGACTACAGCGTGCGCCCATTGCGACCCCGTTTCATATCTCCTCTCACATCTTACTTTAGATCAGCAAGCATACCATCGATCGCTTTGTCGAGATCCTCGCGCTTGGTGGGCACCATGTTCTACTTCGCATCTTAGTGCTCAAATGACATGAGTACTTTCCCAGACTACCCAGAGCTTTCGCTCTACAGCGTTCATCCTGGGGTTATCCTGACGCCTGGCTCGTCCGACATCGCCGAGAGGATGGGCATGCCCAAGAAGATCAATATGCCGGACACGGCTGAGCTTCCGGCTGCAACCTTCCTCTGGCTCACGGCGCGTAACGCGGAGTTCCTCAGCGGTCGGTGAGTGATTCCACTTTGTTATACTAGCAGCGTCTAATTACATATCGGGTAATCTACAGGTATATTCAAGCTACGTGGGATCTCAACGATGTTGTCGCGAAGAAGGATGAAATTGTGCGGGATGATCTGCTCGTAACGAAGCTTGCGGGCCCGAAATTGGCTTGAAGCTCAGCGTTCACTGGATGTAGCGCGCTGGCTATTACTCAGTGCTTAGGGGCTACCGAGTCGGCTCGGCTATATAGATCTGGATGCTATCTAAGACGTAGTCCCAATGTTCATTGCTTAGTCATTTTTGTCTATGGCGTGCTTTACTTGATGTGGTGCTGAGAGCTGACCCTAACCCCCGAGCTGCTGCGGTTGCCGGCCCGACCTCCGATCAAAGGAGTTGTGAGACGGTCGCGCCGGTCGCGCACAAACGAGCTCTTGGACTTGTACTGCAACAGACTTGAACAGACTTATTGGACCACATCTCATCTTCTCGTAGCTAAGCTCGACTCGCAAAATGTACCTCTACACTCTGGCAAGCTGCGCGCAGCGGTCAATACATCATACGAATGCTCCCTCCACTCGCGTCACGAAGAACGCTTCCTGGTGTTCACACCTGCGTTCAAGTTGAACCTCCAAGTGCACCCGACATATGCCAGCCACCGCTCAGGATCGAGGTCCTCGCGAGCGGGCATCCGGCGGCATGCGTGTCTCATCGCTGCGGCGAGCGCCGCGCCCTCAGACCACCTCCCGCCGTGGTTGCGTACTGCACCGTTCACCGCGATGCCCATGACAATACATCCGACTACTCCAACGAACCTCGACGCATAGGCCCAGGCCTCGGCATACGTACGCACCACACGGCTCAACGTACTGCGATCGACGTCTAGGCGGTTCACCAACGACGCAATACTCAGACCGCTTGCGCTCGGCTGGCCCGCGAGCACCCCTGTGTTATAACTGTGGAGGGTCTTGGCGGAGCCGGCCACAGTGTGCCTCATAGTGTCTAGGGTAGTGCCTGTATGTGCATGTATACGTACGACGAGGCAAGACACGGTGGATGCCCACCGATTCACCCGTATATCCGGCTCGGCGTCGCGGATACTTACGAAAAAACGACTGCTGTTCGTAGCGCGAATTCTATGGGACAACATTGTACGCTAAGAGGCGCGTTTGTCGTCAGTCATTGATTGCCGATGCGAAAGGCGTACACAAGGGTATCGTCGGACTATCCAGAACCACAACAAGCACTTCGCCGTCAGCCAGCGGCACCGTCGCTCTATACAAACATATCTCCGGAGACGGCTTCTATCCTGTACATCTTTCCGCAACGAATCTTCCTGATTCACCAAGTGTACGCGTCTGTGCGCGCGTCGGCAGCGAGATCGAAATGTGTATTCACCCAGGCTCCGCGCCCTGGTTTTCAGTGCTCCCGACGTCAGACATCGTTGGCGCTCTCTGAGCTCTGCGTAACCGCACACGACCCAAAAAGCGCCTCAGTCGATCGTTGAGAGTGGTGCGTATATAAACTCCAAGAGTGGACTTCCCACTTGGTATCCGTTTTCCACTCCCGCGGCAGACAGACTATCGCACCGCCCATCCAAGCAAGGTCAATATGCGTTCATCCGGCCTTACTACCATCGTCTGTCTCGCAGTAGCGGTGATTGCCTCGCCGACACCGTATGTCTTTCCGACCCTATCGACGTTTGTTCCCTGCTGACGTGCCCCTCAGCATTGACCCGGATTCCCTGCAAGCGCGTGACGGCTGGTCGCCGCCGGTCCGCCGCGACGTCTTCACGAAGCGGACCCCTGAGCCCGAGCCGGAGGCTGCTCCTGAGCTGTTCAGCTTTGGCAAGCGTTCGCCGTTTGCGCTTCCCAACGTACTCCCTCGCGATGGCCAGGAGGGTACCGTCACCCTCGGCAAGCGTACGTCGGACGGTGGTGGCCGCCTCCCGTTCTTCTTCAAGCGTGACGGCAAACTCAGCGCGCGTGACATCGAGGCGATGCAGGCGCGCAAGGCCGAGATCGAGAAGCGTGAGGCCGAGCTCGTCGCGCGTGAGCTTGAGGAGCTCGCTAGGCGTGAAGCTGAGGAGCTTGCCAAGCGTGAGGCCGAGGAGTTCGCCAGGCGTGAAGCCGAGGAGCTCCAGGCGCGCGAGGCCAGCTCGCTCAAGAAGCGCGAGGCGTTTGAGGAGATCGAGGCGCGCCAGGCGGAGCTCGAGCTTGCCAAGCGGGAGTACGAGGAGGCGGCCAGGCGCGAGTATGAGGAAGTGCAGCTGCGCGACTCTCTTGCTCAGTTCGGTATGCGCGACATTGAGGCGCGCGAGCCGCTCAGCTTCACCGTTACGATCCAGGCGCGCGACGTCGATGACGGGGCTTCGTACCTTGCCAAGCGTGCTCCGCAATTCAACATTGCCAGCTTGATCAGCCAGCTTACTGGCAACGCGACCGCGAATGGCGGCGCGGGTGGCGGGGCCAACGCTAACACCGGTCTCGGTCGCCTCAGTGCGCTCACTAACGGCCGCCTCGGCAACCTCTTTGGTGGTGGTGGCACCACCGGTGGCAACACTGGCCTCAGCCGCCTGGGCAACCTCGGCAGCGCGCTCAACCGCTTCGGCTTCAACTTCCGTCGTGAGGAGGAGCTCGCCCGCGAGCTTGCTGGACGTGAGGCGTCGCCCTTCCCCTTCAGCTTCAAGGATGACTCGTTCACGCGCCGCGAGCCGTTTGACTTTGACTCGTTCGTGAAGGCCAAGCGCTGGAACTGATCGGGTCACCCGCCTTGCTTCAATGACTGAGATGTAATGAAACTTGTCTCTTTGATTGTACATGTACACTTCCTCCGCGCTCCATAGACACTGCGCGGGCAAATGCTGCGACGCTTTCATGCCCTATGCCATGTTTCTACCATGATTACGTCTCGTTATGACATGTCTCCTGATTGTATGATACGTTTGCCATGAATTGAATCCTCTCGCTTCTGATCAACTCGTCGTGTGACCTCAAAAGGGCGCGGGCGCGCCCAAGAGAATGGTCGAGGAATCGCTTGACCCTCATCTGCTCGAATAACATTGCACACGAGCGCATACCGAAGAGTTGTACTTGCTGTGGGAAATGTCTGCGCAAAAGTGCCTCGGCGTGGGCCAGCTTGACGCGTGTAAAGAGATGCCCGAGACGTGGACAAGACGCGAAAGAGATATATGAATGAGTGTATATCATCAGAGACGAGACGTTATACAGGTATTACAGGGTACAAGTGCTTACAGGATAACAAAGCGACGATAGCGGTATACAAGACAAGGCGTCTAAGAGTCTATACAGTGCAAAGGAGCGGAAGGTATACAACAGTTTACGCCTCGATCTCCTCATCGCGCTTGAAAGGCAAGAAGTTGAACGGGAAGCCACGGTCACCAGTCGTCGCATTGCCGAACATCGCGATGCTGTTACCGTCCGCGCCCTGACCGATGTTGACGCCGAAGGGCAAGCGTCCGTTCACAGGGAGCCGGTTGGTAAAGTTGAACGAGAATTGCGGCTCGCGGGCGACGAGCTCGTGCTCCTCCTCACGCTTGAAAGGGAGAAAGTTGAACGGGAAGCCGCGGTCACCGGTGGTGGCGTTGCCGAACATTGCGATGCTGTTGCCATTCGCATTCTGGCCGATGTTGATACCGAAGGGCAGGCGTCCGTTCACCGGGAGGCGGTTGGTGAAGTTGAACGAGAACTGGGGCTCACGAGCGACCAACTCCTCATCGCGCTTGAACGGCAAGAAGTTGAACGGGAACCCGCGGTCTCCGGTCGTCGCATTGCCGAACGACACGATGCTGTTCCCGTCCGCGCCCTGGCTGAAGTGCAGACCGAATGGGAGGTTGCCGGTGATGGGGAGGCGGTTGGTGAAGTTGAACGAAAACTGCGGGTCGCGCTTCTGCATCTCCTCGAACGCGGCGAGCTCATCGCGCTTGAACGGCAAGAAGTTAAACGGGAAGCCGCGGTCGCCGGTCGTGGCGTTGCCGAACATCGCAATGCTGTTCCCGTCTGCGCCCTGGCCGAGGTTGATGCCGAAGGGTAAGCGCCCGTCCACTGGGAGGCGGTTCGTGAAGTTGAACGAGAGCTGCGGGTCGCGCTTGTCGAAGGGCATGGGAGAGCCGTTCACCGATGAAACGGCCAGAAGGACGAGGGTGGAGATGCCGGAGGTGAACATGATGGTGGGTGGGTGTATAGGTGGTTGAGCGTCGGCTTGCTGTCTGGTGAACTGAGAAAGCTAGCTGAGGATGCTGAAGTTGAACAGCAGGTCGTTGCGGGTTTATGAAGGTATTGTTCGTCTCCTGTATCGTAGTGTAGGAGTCAACACAGTAGGAGTAAGGTGCACGAGGCAAGATGGTAGGCACCCTGGTTTCGGATGCGTGCGTATCAGCGTCTAAGAAACTCCAGAGTAGTAGAAGCAACGTACTTGTATGTAAAGGTTATATCAAATGTGACGCCTGTATGAGTGGATCAGTATGCTGGGCAGGTTGGACATTTCATATACGAAGCATGCAATGAATGTGGCGGGACTCGGCGAGCAGCTCGACCAAAGCACTGGCTCTGGCATCGGCGTCTGTTTCGAATTCAAGCTGAGCTGTTTCGGCTGTTGAGCACAGGACAGGCCTTGAAGCTTGAAGTTCAACCCTAGCATGCTCCGACCCGCAGATCGCTCGTGGCGGTGTCCTCGGATACAGCATGATATCATATGAGGGCCGGTGCGCTTAGGATCGCGCGGGGTGACGAATGGCACACAGGAGGAGATATGGTGGAGAGTATCTGTTTTAGGCTGTCGCGCAGGGCGTATCTTTCTGCCCTGACATATGAGTTCTTAAGAGTGATAGGTGGCACAGGCTGTTTGATAGTGAGAGCGGAAGTTCGAGTGAATTACGGCGCCGGAGACCCGTCGCTCGAACATGATGGCAAGAGGCAAGGTCATGGAAACGGGCGTGACCGCGTTTATCGGATTTACTGATACAGAATATTCATAACGAGCCCTTCCTTATGAAGGTACACAATTTGTGCAAGATAGAGCCGCATTTGGCTATACAGAAGTATGGGCCGCTCCAGTCCAAAGTACAGTAACACCATCATCACGGTTGAGATGCACAGATGTTGCGTTCGCGCGTGAATTCGAACTTGTGTGTGCGATGTGGGTCCATGGATGCGTGCCCTCCGCCCAACGCGTCATGGGTGTCAACGTCAACGAGACGCCGGGCGGCATCCCCACACATATGCCGGCGGGAACGTATCGAGCACGTCGTTGGATACATGGTCGTCATCGTAGATAGACCGGTTATCGCCGTTGCGGGCGGCAAGGGGCAGAGTATCCCATGACGCTGCGTCTCCCACGGTGCACTAACTGTGACCTGAACGTCGATGGCGTCTGGAAGCGGCAGCCCGCGCTGGGACTCTCGCAACTCTGCATTCGTCCCTCCCTCCCAGCTCCGCGCCACCTCTCCGCCCTCGCACGACTTTTCCGCCTCTAACAACAATTCCAACGCGCGGGTGAACCAAATCAAGGAGGAAATGGCGCCTGCTGCACCGCCGGGGCACGCGCGCTCGAGCTCGTTCTTCAGCCTGTTCAAGAGCAACGGCGAGAGGCCGCAGAGCCAGGTCGTCGACGAGACCGGGCGGAGGGCGAGCGTGGACAGGCCGGCGAACAGCAGCCAGCCGTCGCAGTCCTCACTGGCTCCCGTCCAATCACGCCCCCAAGATCCCCAGCCTCCACAACAACAACAACAGCAGCAACCACAGCAGCAACAGCAACCGCCGCAGCTGCACCCGGAGATCCGGTCCGTCGTCCAGCTCACCCTCGCCCACGCGCACAAGATCTACGTCTCCGGGCCCCTCGTCCGGCGCATCGAGCGGCTGCCGGACGGACACGCGCCGGGGATCGACGACGGGTGGAGGGACGTGTGGGCGCAGCTGGGCGGGACGACGCTGAGCGTGTGGGACATGGCCGAGATCGAGGAGGCGAACAAGGAGGGCAGGGAGGTCCCGCCCACTTATATCAACATCACAGACGCGTATGTCTCACTCTCTCTACACTCAATATATATATTGACTATCGAGGTAGATTCGTGCAAGTACTGGGCGCAGTCACTATCCCCGCCACGGCCTCCCGCCCCGCCCAGCGCTACACGAACGTCGTCACAGTCAACAGCGCAGGGTCTAACCTATTATTATTCGCGTGCCCCGACGGGCCCTCGCTCATCGCCTGGTCCTCCGCCCTCCGCCTCGCAGCATGGGAAAAGTCCCGCCTGGAAGAGATCTACACCGCGCACCTGCTACGCATCACCCTCGGCCCGGGCCCCAGGAGCGCCGTCAGCCCGCTCGTGCGCGGGAAGATGGAGGGCTTCGTCAGGGTCAGGGTCGCCGGCCAGACGGACTGGAAGAGGCTCTGGATGGTCGTCGCCGCCTCTGAGGGCGGGCCGGCGCCTACGACGCCGCCTACGGAGCGCAAGCGGAGGATATCGAGTTTGTTCGGTGCGCCGGCGCATGTGCCGCAGCCTGAGGACGCGATTCTGCGCGCGACTGTGGGATTCTACGCGGGGCAGAAGGGGAAGGACAGGAAGAGGCCGCTGTTGAGTGTCGTGAACGTGACACAGGCGTTTGCGGTGTACCCTGAACGGCCGGAGTTGATCAACCGGAGCACGCTTCTCAAGCTCGAGGGTACTCTTGGCGAAGAAGAGGTCGCGGGAGCTATGAGAGGACGCGAGGGATGGGTGCTTGTCATGCCAGAGCTCGAGGCTGGATTCAGTCAGGCGAGGGAGATGCTCAAGTGGCTTATCGGCGAGTATTTGAGGTACTGATTAAGGTTGATGTACTGATTGTGATGGGTACAGGTATTCACGATGCGTTTGAGCTGTATGGACGGCCAAAGGAGTACGTCTGGGACCCCCGCAACATCGCATCGCTCATGTTCGCCTACCCCGTCGGTCCTGCGCGCGACGTGCGTATTTATATCTCTTCCATTATATACAGTCTACTGATGTGCGTACAGCTACTCTTCCTCGAACGCGAAGCAGCCGAACAAATGGACCCCCGCGAAGACCGCACCTCAGCCGTCCGCGCAGGCCTCTACGACATCCTCGCCAACCGCATGCGCTCCCAAGGCATGCTCGACGGCCCCTCCACGCCCAATCCCAACGCAACATCCACAACACCCGCGCAACCTCCCAACGCAGGCATCTCCAGCCCATCAGCATCGCGCAAAGTCAGCGCGCCGCCTACACTGCCGCCCTTACCGCTCGGCGAAGAGTCGCCTGGGAGCGAGGCGGGCAGGTTGCCTGAAGGCGCGGGAGGGGGAGGGAGCGGGTTCCAGCTCCCCCCGCTCAAATTCGGCTCGGACGAGAGTGGCGAGCCGACGTCGTCCGCGGCTGCAGCAGCAACGGCGATGTCCCCGCCTCAACCGCCCGCGCCCGCGCCCGCACCCACTCAAAGCGGTGTCTCCATCCCATCGGGTCTAAGCCCCATACGCGAAGGCGGCTCAGGCGATACGTCGGGCACGGCGCGTACGGCCTCGGCGGGCAACGGCGGCTTCGTCGGCGGCTTCAACGAGCGATTCGGCAACGACCCGCCGCGCGGCAGTTCATTGGATAAAGAGAAAGAAGGGCCGCGCGTGACGAGTCCCCTGGCGCACGAAACGTCCTTCGTCCGCTCGCCGTCGCCCCTGGGGACCACCGACCCGCCACAGAGACCCGACGTCAATCTCAATATCAATACGGAGAGGGAGAGCAGGCTGACGGAGAGCCCGAGGAATTTGGTTGAGAGCCCGAGGAGCGGGTTTAGGCTGCCGAGTCAGGAGAGGGACTTTGAGCCGCCTGTGAGGAGGCAGCAGCAGAATACTACGACTGCTGTGTCCCCGCCGCAGCCGGCAGCGCAGGGAGAGGCGAGGTTTAGCGTTGTGAGGAGCTCGACGACTAGTCCGGGTGCGGGAGCGGGGAGCGGGAGTCAGAGCCCGATGGGGTCGAGGAGTCCGCCGCCTGCGGGGGCGCGGCAGAGCTCGTTCGCTTCTGCCTCTGTTTCAGCTTCGGCGCAGAGTCCTCCACCACCGGCGAATCGCACGCAAAGTCCGGCGAACGCAAGCGTGAAGCAGAGCCCGCCGGGGAGTATGCCCCACTCGCCTGTTCCGCCGGCGTTGAGCCCGCCTGCGCAGCCCGATTCGAGGGACTCGTTTAGGACGGCGCCTGAGCGGGCTGCTACGGCCAACACCAACACCAGCGTGCCAGCGCCTCATCCGCCCGAGCTCGGCTCGCGCGACTCGTTCCGCACTTCGACGTCCTCATTCGCGATCCCGTCTGCATCCGTCTCGCGCGCGGCGTCTTCGAATCCGAGTGCGAGCGGTGTGGGATCTGGGAGCGGGGTGGGGAGTGTGGGGTTGGGAGGGCGGTACGAGATGTTGCAGAGTACGAATGCGAGCAGTGATGTGCATCCTGCTGTCGCGAGTAGCGAGGTTCATCCGCATGGGAGGTTTGAGGGGCAGCAGAGCCCGGGGCCGGGCATGGCGAGGGCACCCGGGAGTCCGTCGACTTTTGGACGCGCGTCGCCGTTCGGGCAGCAGCAGCAGCAAGGGCGGAACTCTCCGTACCAGCAGGGCAGAAACTCGCCATATCAACAACAACAGCAGCAGCAGTCGATGTACGCCCAGCAAAACGCGCCGATGTACCAGCAGCACCAGTCGACCGACGACTTCTACGGCCACCCCGACCACGCGAGCATCATGAGCGGCGAGACGGCCGGCGCGATGACGAACCCGTATTCGGCGGGCAGCCCGGGCGGGCAGAGCAGGCGGCTGAGTCTGGCGCCGAGCACGGCGAGCTTCCCGATGTCGATGTCGATGGGCCAGGGTCAGCGTCCGTATTCGCCTGGCCCGCCTGGTGCGCAGATGGGGTACGGGCAGGGTCAGGGCCAGATGGCGCAGGTTCCGCCGCGGTTTGCGACGCCGCCGACGGTGCCGGCCTCGCCGATGCAGAGATTCACGACGCCGCCTGTGCCGTCTTCGCCGCTCGCAAGGCAGATGAATCCGAATGGGCACGAGGGCGGTGATATGATGGGCGACTCGGCCGCTGCGCTGGCGTATATGCGGCAGATGGACACGGACCCGCGGCCGCCGCGGTTGAGGGGGGCGCCGCCGCCTAGTATGGAGGACGAGACGGAGGAGGGGCAGTTGGATGT